AGCGACCATGACACAAAGGTAGCGAGCATGGGTGATTACTGCTGTGTGGCTTTCAGGGCCAGGGTGGCAGAAGAGCTGAGCCAGGATCACAAACTAGACCTCCCTGACAAGAGAGAGAGTGCATCGAGACCATAGATGGCAGTATTACTTTTGGGTGGCTCAAGGATCTCAATGTGAGTAGGGGCGCACTATAGGCATGGATAAACTATTTTGGCAAAATATAATAGGATTTTTACTCTCTTATATAATCCAAGGTAGTTATTTTTTCTCATTTTTTAAAAATGGTTTTAAGCATTGCCCTTTTTATAGGCTATATTCCAAGTTGATAATTGCAATAGTAAAGTTTAAAGTTGATAATTGCAATAGTAGAGTTTAAAGTTGATAATTGCAATAGTAGAGTTTAAAGTACAAGACCAGATGGCCATAGAAATATTTTGGAAGTCCCTTTTTGACATTGTATTGAAGTGGATTGGTAAGCTTGCTAAATTTTGCAATTTTATAGCAAATGGGACTAGGGCTAATTGGAATGGCATTTAAGTAGTTTTTAGGAATGGTCAACTCCTAAAAGGTCATGAGAGAACTTGTGAATTCTATTGCAAAGCCTAAACTAGCACTATCACTTTATCAAATTAGATTTTCAATTAGCATTTAATGAGTTGTATAAATAATGGTAGGTTATACTTTTTGAAAAAAGAGCATGAGGCAAAAACAAATAATATTTGAATCTGGTGAGATAAAGATAGTCATACAGACATAAGTTGTCTACCACAACTTGAGTTATGGTTGGAGTGGTGGGAAGTTAGGATGTTCTAATAAGGACATCACTCTCTTTAGGTTGGTTTTTTTTTTTTTAATCTTTTTATTGTCTTTTAATATTGTCTTTTTCATTAAAACCAACCATATTGATTTTGTATATACCCTAACTATGAATCTCTCAGAGAGTAAAGATTGGAGCTAGCATTCCTTTGAGGCAGGGAAAGGGAAGATGAATTTATACGAAGCATGTCTATTGAATTTGATATATATTATAGAGAAGGGGAAGACAAGTTTATAAAAAGTATATTTCAGAACAATCTTCAAAAGCCTTGGCATTTAAGGAAGGAAGACACATGGGAATAAAACCTTCAATTAAGATGTTACATGATTGGATGAAGAAAAAATGACTCCATTAGTACAAATAGTGGCAATTATAATGGACGAAATGGTTTGCAACACATGTATAGAATATACTCCCTAGGCTTCTATTAGTGACATAAAGACTATCCACTCAAAGTGTTTTTTTTCCTTTGCTGGTGAAAATGTTGGTATATACCTTAGAGCAAAAAGCTCTCGCACGTTTAATGTTGAGTACCATTTTACTCCAAGACATCACTTTTGGTATATTAGTGGATTCTCATAATTTAACCAAGAATATTTTTTATCCCTACTATAAAGTGATTTGGCAAGTTTAAGAAGTGAGGAAGAATAAAATGGTTATTGTACAAGATTAACATATGGTAGTTGGAAGCTATTGAAAGTATCATATAAGCTAATATTGATGTGGAAAAAGAAAAGATACCTTGGAGTATTTTAAGGCATTGATGAAAGAATTAATGCCATGGTTGAGGCAATAGAATATTATACTAGATAAGTACTTTATGTTCACCAAGCCAAAACTTGTATATCTCTATGACTTACAATAACATATTTGGTCTGATTGTAGCTCATGGGTTGATGATACCTCCATCTTAAATCTTTGAGAAATACCCAACTTTTAATTTTTAAAGTAGAAATATTTAAGCATTTTTAGGAAGTTTAGACCTCCAACTTTCAAAGGAGATGCCCCTCTTGATGAGAATCAAAATTGGGTTGTCACCTTGTCTACAACTAAAAATGTCAATAGATGAATTGATTATAGCATTTTACTTTAAGCTAATATTGCTATGGCATAAGGGGTATACTAGGGTTTGGTGGAAAATAAAGAGGAATTCTTTATCTATCTAGAGGGATTTATAATGGGCTTGAATTAGTTTGAGGCAAAATTTGATGAAAAATTTCTGAGTTTAAATTGTTGAATAGGTTGTGAGCTAAGAAGTAAAAAGAGAAGAAAGATGTTCAAATATATGTAGACACATTGAATTGACTCACAATACAACTTAGATCTTCACTAGTGACAAATTGACAATTGCGTAGATATTTTTGTTAAGGCTTTAAAAAAATTTTGGGAGCAAATGTAATTTTATGCCCAAACAATACACCAAACATGCAAATTCAAGATACAAAAGGAGTGAAGATTCAATCAAGATTCCTAAAGATAAATCTTTTAAAGAAAAAATAAACATCAAATGAGTAACTACAGAATGTTAAGGATATTGTAACAACTTTAACACAAGAATTGAAGAAAGATAAATCATTAGTTCATATCTTTTGGGAAGAGGTTAGTTGACGAAGGTGGTGGAGCAAGATGATAAATATGATAATAACAATTTAGTTTGATATTGTGTAATGAACCAACAACATTCAACTACCAACCATGATATATAATTTGACACAAAGACATAGGTAGATTCTATTAATAGATCTTTAGAACTAGAAAATCTAAATAAATACCCATTTAAACCATACTAGAGCCTTAGAGAGAGAAAAAAAGGAATTAGAGCAAAAACTAATACATAAAGGGATGTAAATATTATTAGGAAGTTAAGGCTAATAGATGATGGAAATTTTAATAAAAGATCCTTTGTGGCTAATAGGTAACAGTAAACATTTCAATGGCATTGCAATAATATCTTTAAAAATAATTATGTAGAGGGGAACCTACTTGTGATGGTGTAAATTAAACTTAGATATGAATGAAGGTAAGTACAGTTTAATGTGATGCATTACAATGAGGTGGTAAGGCTCCATGTGTTATTAGATGACAAGGGGCTAAAAGAGGAGGATGCTAATAAAAATCCTTAAATAGGGCAATTATAAATAAAATTTCAGGTCATGTCCATTAGAATAAGAACTTGTACCATAGCATTGCTCATTGCTTTCCACTTTTACCTTTTATCTTTGAGAATCTTAAAATTTTGGAATCCTTTGCATGCGTTATAGCCCTACTACACCCTAATCCATCTCATTATTCTAATTGCTTCAAGTTTGACCATTCACAAGTTTGTATAATAAAAACTAACAGTCCCACTCCTGCTAGTCTAGGGTAATCCTAGCTGCAAGTGTAGGTCATTATTGTGCAGCTTTGGCCAACCAAATGTAGATATGGCTATAGCTACTATAGCCATGGCCATGGGCTTCTTTTGGCCCATGACCACATAGCTTGCTATAAAGATAAAATAAATAAGAGCACATAGAGATTTTACATGAGTGTGGTTACTAGTTGTGGCTGGCTATAGCAACCTAAGCCTATAGCTATGGCAGCCTGGTGTAACTTGCCAAAAGAAAAAAAAATATAGAATAGTAGGTTGTGTTTTTGGCTATAACTCTAGCCGCATTAAATATGGAGTTAAATGCTTGTCTGAGGAGAAAGAGAATCTTAACAATCTATCATAACCAAAAATTTGAAAAAAAAAACAAGAAAAACCTTATCCTACTATCGACTTCACAACCATGTTACCATAGCTTCACCACAGCTAGGGTCTGGCACTGGTACAAGTGCAAGGAGTAATGGACAATCCTAAGAATGCTTGGCATGCACAAAGAGGCCCTTGCATTTGAATTTGTCTATTGTATATTATGACATTGTCATTTATGACATGTCATCATGTCCACATGGTAAATAAAGGCCAAGGAGATGATTTGCAACTTACATCTAGCAACCCTAATTCAATATCCAAAACCTAGGGCTTTAGCTCAGATAGATTCATTTATTCCCATATAATATTCAAGAATTATTTGACATTCCCGCATTCTACAATTTCACTACTAAAAGAAGATTGATTAATGGTTCACAATGAGCTTTGAAACGTCTACTACTAGGATTTCTAGGGTTCATGATTCCTCCTTGATCTTCTCAAGCTCCAATTTAGCAGCATCATTAGGCTTTAGGTAGCATCTGAAAGAAAAAAGTTTAAAATCTAGATGATTTGAAAGATACAAAAGGGAATAGTACCTTCTCTAATCTTACTTCCACCATGTGTTTAATCATTTTTAGTTGCAACTAGCTTAGGAGCAAATGCTAAGAATTTGATCGTTGAATGAGAAGATCCATAACCAATGATACTAGATGAATTTGCCTTGCACTTGACAATGTTTGCTATGCATTCAATAGAAATTTGTGAGTAATAACAATTTGTCTCATTGCCTTATAAGGCATCATTGTGTAATCTGGACATATTAAAGCTATGAAGAACTTTTGCCTAGTAATATCTTTTTGTGTTTTTTCTAGTGCCATTTTAAGTATTTCTGAGCTATATTTGAGTTTAGTTTCTGGTCCCCATCACCATTCCATTCCTCTATTTTTCTATAAGTTTTGCTTCCTTGGCTACTTGTTTTTCTTGTTCTCTTAGTTGTTTTGCAATGTCAAGCTTAAAGAAATTGAATAGATCCTTAGGGCCATAGCACTTTTGTTTGCCAATTTGCAGTGAGATAGATATTTCTTTTTAAAAAAGTTTCTGGACCTATTTATATCTTTAATTTTACTTTTTAATTTTATTCACTTGGTTGGGATACAGCCCCCTACTATTGTGGCAAGGCAATTGTTGGATTTAGAGTATGAACATTCTAGGCAGTGAATCCCTGCTAGGTTGAAAATGCCAATTGGCGATAATTTAGGGGCTAGTTTACAAGACTTTGGTATTTTTGTTAAACTTTGAAAACCTTTCAAAGAGGAATTTACCAAGTGCTAGTGGATTTCCTTACATGACAATATATTTAGCATTTCAAAGCTATTTGTTTCCTGCTAGAATCATTATTTTTGTACACGAAGCCTTGTTTCTGAAATTGATACGATATGGAAACAACTCGTACCAAAGGAACGTGGTCGAGTGGTTTAAGAATATTCTTCCAATTGGGAGGTGCCCTAGAATGGAGTGTACGCTGAGCGGCAATGCCGTCAAGGGCTTGCATCGTGCCGTGGCGTGCCTGGCGCGCGTCGGCCCGGAGCTCCTACTAGAGGCGCTGCCGGACAAGGTGAGAGAAAATCTAAGCGAGGAGGAGGAGGAAGAGGAGCAGCGCGATCTCTTTTCTTTTTCTTTGCTAGGTGACCCTCCGATCGCTCAACTCGGCGCGCTCGGCGTTCGTCGCGATCACATTCCGGCGCCACTTCTTCGATAGGCTGCAGCTCTCTTCCTCGAGCGCTCAGTGCGGTGTGCTTCTCAAGGTGTGAGCCTTTGTCCTCGAGGAGCGCCTAGTCTTGGGGTTGCTAATATCGTCTTTAAGGCCGTGTGCACTGTCTTGCGGACGCAACCAGGCAGTGTAGAGCGCATGGCGATCACGCTGCCGGACAGCAATGCTTCCAAGTTGAAGTGGACGATCGACTGCTTGAATGGTATGTTGTTCGTCTTGGCTTTGGAATGTGTTTTCGTAGCTTATGTCGCGAGCTTTCGAGCAGGGCTGAGGAAAACGTACTGGATATCTTGCAACAACGACATAGAAATGCAGCATGTAGCGATCGAGAGGAACATTTTTCCCAGCAATCTGGTGGCAAGGCCTCGTGACTTCAGCAGGCTGCTGGCTAATTTCCAGTCGAGCTTGCAAGAGATTACTCTGATCGCCACCGAGCCTTTCCTTGCGCCTACTGAGTCGGAAGGCAAGGCAGTGGAACTCAGGAGCTACATCGACCCCGTCAAAGGTATGTTGTTGCTCGCTCGGCTCTATATGTTTCGTTTTCTTTGTTCTGTGCCCGTAGAAAACAACGATGGCGCACTTCATACTCAACTTTGGATTGATCCCGCCGAAGAATTGCGAGACTATCATCACACTGGGGTCGCAGTGGACGTTACGTTCAGCGTCAAGGAGCTCAAGGTGCCTCACTTATCACTTATCTTAAGAGGAAATCCTAACATCTATAGCCTTTGCATGCTTCAGGCCTTTATGAATTTTTGTGAAGGTTCAGAGGCTGATATGCAGCTTTTCTTTGACAAAGCTGGAAGGTACTTATCTTTCAGTGTCTTATTGTATTCTAGTTACAAAATCCACGTCCTGTGTGCAGCCCGATTCTCCTTGCTCCAAAGTTCAGTGTTGATGATGCCGCAAATGCCGATTTTGACGCAACTCTTGTGCTAGCGACTATGCTGGGCTCTCAGCTTAGATCCAGTGATTCTGCTAGTGATCGAGCTCCAACAGATGCTCAGCCTGCACAGGGCGCTCCCCAAGCGGGTTATACTACTCCAAAGAATGCAGCTAATAAGGAAACAGCGGGAACGGGTTCAGGCCCTCGGTCTGATCATACTGTAATTTGGTCAGAGCTTTCAGGTACATTTTGTCAATCGTGGACAAGCTAAAGTCACTCCGTTTTACAGGCACGGCAGATCAAAGAGGAAGAGGGTATGCTGACAGACTTGCAAACCAACAGCCTCGTCAAATATTCCCGGATAGTGGCGACGCTACCGAGGAACTTCCTTTCCACCGGCATGAGTTTGTTTTTAAGATCCATCCACCTCTTTTGTTCCTCACATCTGTCATTTTGCTCTCGGCAGTGTCACGTTAGAGAAGGATGTCCGGAATGGTACAGAGGATGACGTCGTGCAGCAGCAACCCAATGGTGAATGCTTTTCGGTGTTTGTTGTTTCAAGCTAAGCTTGTAAGTTGTCAATGCAGATGAGCGTAGTGCACAACAGCTGTTTGGAAAGGATTTGAGCAACTGGATTGCTGCCGATACAGACGAGGAAAGCGATGGGGATGGGTTTTGCGTTCAAGCAACACCTCCCCACCGGAGGGGGTGAAAGAGGGCGCTGGTATGTTCTTGTCGAGCCCGCTTTCGCTTTTCACGCTTGTCGTTCAAATTCCAGTTGCAAGTCAATAACGTGTCTCCAGTTTTGCTTTCGACTGAACAGGCATTTCCCAAGTGCACTCAAGTTACGATGACAGGCATGAAATCTTGTCCTGGGCCTATCAGAGCTCTTCCTTTAACAGGAACCGACAGCCTAGCAAAGATGACAATTTTTAGCAAGCAACATATTCAACTTGTGATATGTTGATACAAATTATTCCTTTGTGTCATATGTTTTTTGTGATCGGGATTCTAGTCCATGCATCCTAGACAGGCACAAGTGGGCTGAAAATATTTTGAACCAGCTGGAGATCCCGACAAGCGTGAAATTATTTCAAAGAAACAATTCTTCCATTGTCTTGGACAACTTGTCCCCATCTTGCACGAGTCTATGATCCTCGTATGCCAAGGTTTTGCCGAAGACACTAGCGTCCAAGCCGGTATCGACGAGAGACGAGCAGGGTCCTCGCCTGAGCTATTAAAGTTGGCCAGCGTTTTCCATCACCTAAGACTCCAATGGCAAAAGGTTCCAACCATGTTGTTCTTGTTCCTCTTCCAGCACAAGGCCATCTCCTGCCAATCCTCTACCTCGCCAGGAAGCTCGCAGCGCATGGATTTGCGGTAACCATCGTCAACATCGACAGCGTCCACGAGAGTGTGAAGCAAAACTGGAGGAACGTTCCACAGCAAGACATCCGCCTGGAATCGATCCAGATGGAGCTCAAGGTCCCCAAAGGCTTCGACGCCGGCAACATGGACGCAGTGGCTGCATTTGTGGATTCGCTCCAGGCCCTGGAAGAACCACTGGCGGATCTCCTCGCCAAACTCAGTGCTGCTCGAGCCGCGTCGTGTGTCATCTCGGATTTCTATCACCCCTCGGCACCGCACGCCGCGTCCAAGGCCGGAATTCCCTCCGTGTGCTTCTGGCCTGGGATGGCGTCGTGGGCTTCGATCCAATACAGCCAGCCTTCGATGATCGCTGCTGGTTATATTCCAGTCGATGGTAAAGTTGGTTCTTTTTTCTGGAGTTTCTTCTTATCGGATTTTTTCTCTAAACTGCCAGAGTCGAATGCTAGCGAGATTGTCGATCTTCCCGGCTTGAAACCGATGCGAGCGGACGATCTCCCGTTCTATCTCCGCAAGGACTTCTACCACAAGCTGGGGAGGGATAGATTTCTTCGCCAGCTCGAACGAGCGGCCAAGGATACGTGGGTCTTGGCAAACTCATTCTACGAGCTGGAACCGCAAGCTTTCGATGCCATGCAGCACGTCGTTCCAGGAAAGTTTGTCCCGGTCGGGCCCCTCTTCCCACTCCGAGATCGCGAGGCGAGTGGGATGGAGGCGAGCTTGCGGCCGGAAGATCACAGCTCCATCGGCTGGCTCGATCGCAAACCTCTCAAATCGGTGCTCTACGTCGCGTTTGGGAGCATCACGGTGCTGAGGCCCGGGGAATTCGAGGAGCTGGCACGGGGGCTGGAAGAGAGCGGGCATCCCTTCCTCTTCTCTGTTCCTCGTGAGATGGTGCCGGAGGTGGGGGACGATCGCGTGGGCGAATTCGCGGAGAGGGCGGCTCGATCGGGCGCCGGGATGGTGGTGCGGTGGGCGCCGCAGCTGGCGGTGCTCCAGCACCCATCGGTGGGCGGATTCCTGAGCCACTGCGGGTGGAATTCCATCCTGGAGAGTGTGAGCAGCGGCGTGCCGGTGCTGGGGTGGCCGATCGCGTCGGAGCAAAACACCAATTGCAAGCTCGCGCTCCAGGAGCGGGGGGTCGGGATGGAGCTGGCGGACAGATCGAGCGGCGGCGTGGCGAGCGCGGTCCGGGAATTGATGGCGAGCGAGGAGCTGAGGAGGAATGTGGCGGAGATTGGGAGGAACGCCCGGGCGGCCGCGGCCGCTGGCGGATCATCGCACAGGAACCTCCATGATTTCTTCCATTCCTGCCAAGATCGAGAGATTCTACTGCAAATCAAGCAACAATCCCTAATCTAGAGAGAGAGAGAGAGAGAGAGAGAGAGAAATATTCCATTCTCTGGCAAAAGGATATTATTATTCTCTCCCCCGTGCGGCAAGATTCCACGATCCGGCCGTCCATTCAAATGGCCACGATGCCGATGGATAGAAAGAGCTTGGAGTCTCCGCAGTGATCTTCCGTCCGGGTCACGCGCCAGGGATCGCAGGGCTTCCATCGCATCGGTCCTTCCTCGCGACGCGACCGGCGAGGATTGAAGCGCAGTGTTAGGGTTTACTCTCCTGTTCCTCTCTCCTGTCTCTCTCGATCTCTCGATCGATCGACAGCGAAGATGCGATTTCCAAGGCTCTGGCAGCGCGGAGGAGTTTTGGGGAGCTCCGATCGAGGCTAGGGTTGAAATTTCCCCCCTTCATCCATCCATGGCTCCTCCAAACACGAGCTATGTCGAAGTGGGAGAGGCGCCGGCGCTGCTGGAGAGCGAGACGACCGATGTGGTTGCAGAGGAGGCTGGCGCATTCGTCCTGCCGCCAAAGATCCCCGTGCCCGCCGCACTGTCGAGCAAATTTGGGGGCTCGCCCCCCGCCAGCGTCTACGAGCTCCTCGAGTGCCCAGTCTGTACCAATTCCATGTATCCTCCCATCCATCAGGTAAAAGCTTCTTTCTCTCTCGATTTCCTGTTCTCTATCCAGTTTGATCCATCGTTGGTGTTCTCTTTCCTTTTTCTTTCTCTTGTGTAGTGCCCGAATGGTCACACTTTGTGCTCTACGTGCAAAGTCCGCGTCCACAACCGCTGCCCGACTTGCCGATACGAGCTCGGGAACATCCGGTGCTTGGCTCTGGAGAAAGTTGCCGAGTCCCTCGAGTTACCATGCCGGTACCAAAGCCATGGCTGCCCGGAGATCTTCCCCTACTACAGCAAGCTCAAGCACGAGTCCCAGTGCTCCTTCCGGCCTTACAATTGCCCCTACGCGGGGTCCGAGTGCTCCATCACCGGAGACATCCCGACTCTCGTCGCCCATCTCCGGGACGATCACAGAGTTGACATGCACAATGGCTGTACCTTCAACCATAGATACGTGAAGTCCAATCCACAGGAGGTCGAGAACGCGACATGGATGCTCACTGTAAGTTCGTCTTTGATTCTTCGTCTTGTTTCTTGTTTTTCGTTTTGTTCCTGTGGACTGATCCGATGCTTGCAGGTTTTTAATTGCTTTGGCCAACACTTTTGCCTCCACTTCGAGGCCTTCCAGCTCGGGGTGGCGCCCGTGTACATGGCCTTCTTGCGATTCATGGGGGACGACAACGATGCCAAGAACTTCAGCTACAGCCTCGAAGTCGGAGCCAACGGGCGCAAGTTGATGTGGCAGGGAGTTCCCAGGAGCATCCGGGACAGCCATCGTAAGGTCCGAGACAGCCACGATGGTTTGATCATCCAGAGAAACATGGCACTCTTCTTCTCTGGAGGGGATAGGAAGGAGCTCAAGCTTAGAGTGACTGGCCGGATCTGGAAGGAGCAATGACAGGGCAGTTTTGAGTGGATGGGGCTGTAGGAGATAGTTGTACATTATCATCACCAGCAGGAAGAATTCTTCTCCGAGGTTTGGGATTTTAGTTTAGAACTTGGGCTTTGGATCGATCAGGGCCTGGCAGGAGAATGAGCTTTGGTTGGTTGGAAGCTGTAACATGGTCAAATCTGAGACTAGAAACACTGGCAAAATGGAAAATCCTTCCTTGAAAAGCTTGCTGAAAGTTGAAAGCTTTGGAAAAGTCTTCCAGAGGAAAAGGTGGCCGGATGGAAGAATTTGGAAGCAGCGATGTCGAGTTTTCTTTCAAGCTGGAGCTGCTGCTGTTACATCGGATGGAGCCGGAGCCGGAGCTGGAGGTGGAGCTCGAGATCGAACTGGCGGAGGTGGTCGGACTGCTGGAGGAGCCGGAGACGCGGGATCATACCAGCCGAGAGCGATCTCCAGCGCCTTTTTGGCGCGAGCGAGGCGGGACTTTCGCCTCCGGCCGGTGTTCCTGTGGAGCGTGCGAACCTTGACAGCCTTGTCGATCACCGAGTAGGCCTCGCCGATCATCACCTCGACGGGCTTGAGCTCCTCGGGCGCCGCCCCCTCGGCCTTCTTCTTAAGATCCTCGAGCGCCGAGAACACCTTCTTCATCCTCGTCCGGATCTCCGACTTCCTGGCCTTGTTGTAGATGCGCCTCTTCTCGGACAAGAGCGCCCTCTTCACCGCCGACGACATCTTCTTCTTCTTGGGCACCTCCTCGTCCTTGGCCGCCGCTAGAACCCGGAATCTAGACGCTGGGCTTGCTGGAGTCGTGGTTCCTCTCCTGGGCTCCAGGTTCGCGAGCGAGGACGCGAGCCTGGCGGTCAGATTGCCTGCATTGCCACAACGGAAAATCGATGCCACACGGCTCTAGCTCAAATCTCCGCGTACCCAAATCGTCGCCGAAGAAGAGCGAGCAGCTCCTGCCGCCGCTGGTGCTACAAATCCCGGAAGCCCGAGGCGCCGTGGCCCAGGGCTGGCGGCACGCCCACGCCGTTGTCATCGTCGTCGCCATAGCTCTATCCAAAGTTTTAGGGTTTGTGGGTTTAAAGGAGGGTTGCGCACCCAACCATTAAATCTTGCAGTTCCGTATAAACTTTTAGAAATTAAACTAGTTTTGATTATTTTCACTGTAAGAATTACTGTTAAATATTAACTAGAAATACATTAAATTAGGTTAAAATCTTCTCACTGGTTGGGCGGGATAACAACAATGGAGATATTGTCTCTACTCAAATCGCTCGCCTTTCTAACAGCTTGATCTGCCACTGCCTGGCCCAATTCAGATGTTGTTGGATCAACCATCGCGGCTATGTCGCAAACCTCTTGCTCGCTCATCCCTTCGTAGAGCCCATCCGAGGCCAACACGATAAACCCATCTTTGTTGGTGTTCGTCCACATCGACACGTCTGGGGTGGCAATCACGCCGTGGTTCTTGAGCGGGAGGTCCCCGATGGCGCGCGACATTGGAAAGTGGCCATCGATCACGCCGAAGCGTACCACGCCGCCCGCGGCCTCTATCCGGTGCTTCTCTGCGGGTAACTCCGGGTGATGGTCGCTCGTTAGCGCCTTGGCAACCAGCTTCTCGCCACCGTCGCGGACGCACGCGATCGCCCTCGAGTCGCCAACGTTGGCCACGACCATGAACTCGTCCGTCACTACTGCTACGCACGCGGTGGATCCCGCTGGCCACCGGTTCTTGTAGGCTTCCTTGAGAAACGAGCTCTCCAGCTCTGCGATGGTCTTCTCCAGAGCCGCCCTGACAACTCCAGCGTCGATTTTACTGCTAGAGGCATCCAGTGATCCCCGGAGGTTTGCGCGGAGCTTGGGCTCGAAGTTCTGGACGAGGAACTCGCTGGCCTGGGAGCCTATGTGGCCGTCGAAGATGGCGAAAACTCCCACCCGGCTATCACCATGATCGGCGAGCAAGTCGGCAAGCGCTAGTAGCCGATCTTCCTGGTATCTCCGGCGCCCTTGAATGCTCAGATGCCCACTGGACCACCCTGTTGATACTTCCACTGCTACAACACTACTCACCAAGAGCTCCAAGAGCGCCAAGAGAGCCAAGAGCTTCTTCATCCTTCCTTACCCTAGAAAAGGAAGCTCTATATAATCGTTATAAACATCCGGTCACATGTGACAAGTTAAGGCGTGTCTTACCAGCCAGAAACTTGGGGGGCTTCTTGAGCGTCACGGCACCGCGCTGCTTCTCTAGGTCGGGTGCAGGATCGCAGGACTGGCACGCGGATCAATGGCAACTAGTAACTGTGGGCTTGTGTGTTTGTTTCTTCTCTTCTCAATTCCCGTTAGCGCTAGCGTCTCTTTGAGCCTAGTCTCAAGATTTGCCAATGCCGGTGATGCAAGTCAAGCGAGAGAGATTTTCCTCCTCTCCTCACTAGTCGATTCTTCTTTTTCTTCCTTGATCTCCGCTCAGAAGCTCATCTACGTAGCAAGTGAGTACCTTGTTGAGGTAGTGTTCGGATCCAGCAAGAAGCTGATTTTCGACAGGAAGCACATATATAAAGTGCTCCAGAAGCAACTTAGGATATCCACACAGCTCAGACACATTCAAGCCACTCAATTGCAGCACCAACTGCCAATGGTGACAGACAATGGTGGCTGTTTGTTCCAAGTTATATACCTCTCCAATTATGTCCTAGGTGAACTCTTTAGCTTATTAACATAGTGCATTGAAATAGTGTAGAAGAGGTGGTGTATAGGAGAAGGTGTACAAGACACAATGGAACTCAGGGGACTCAAAGAGTATGCTTTGGTTGTGGATATGCATGGGGAATCAGTCACAAGTATGGAGTGTGGATTTACAATGTCAAGACCATCAGTGAAACAAACAAGGGAGCAAACTTTAGGCCAACCTCAGACGGGCTATAGAATATTCTCAGAATATTCTTGTGGTTCCTCCTAGCCACAAATGGCAGCCTCAAAAAGTTAAATAAACCTCACATAAAGGGAGTCCAAGACAATATGGCCATGGAGAAAAGATGTGCAAATGACAGTACTAATGTTACGACAAATGGCTCATATAATAATACAACTATAGAACTCAATTCTCCCCTTCCTCAGAAATGTCATCCAAGTCATAATTAAAACTTGGAAACATTCTCTTCATATCATCCTCAATTTCCCATGTAGCTTTGTTCATGGAATAATTATTTCACTAAACTAACAACTCCGTAGTTATCTTCTGGCATGTTTTCACCAATCTTTGAGCAAGAATATTGGCCGGACTAGCCTTCTTAATATCAATCTTAGGAACTTGGATGATGGACTGATCCACGATAGCACTAGAGTGTAAATACACTTTAAGCTTGCTTACATAAAATATTGGATAAATCTTCAAATTAGCTAGTAAGTCCAAAGTGTATGCAAGATCCCCCATCTGTAAATTTATCTAAAACCCACAATACCATGGAGACAACTTAGCACTACCACCTCCTTTTAGAGACTGTTATGCATCTGACAATTTAAAGAAAATCTTATCACCAACTTTGTACTCTAATGTTCATCAACCAATCTTTTGTCTCGATTTTGAGTTTTCCTCATGCTCAACTTTGCCAACTCAAGCTTGTTTTATATATCCTCCATGAAATCATAAGTATGAGGTATTTAAACTAAAGCTAAACTCAAACTCACAAGAGATTTAAGCTTATAGCTATACATCACCATAAAGAGAGACATGCCAATAGCCAATTGATGACCGTTATTGTGAGTAAAATAAAACAAAGGCAAATATTTCTCCTATACTCTCTGTCAAGTCAAGTTTCCCAAAAAAGATCTTAACATATCTTCTAATAGTTGATTCATATGCTTTGTCTGGCCATTTAATTATGGATGCTCACCATTACTTATGCTCACTTTAGTCTTTAGTTTTTCAAATATCATTTGCCAAAGCTTGGACATAAATTTGAAATTCCAATCGCTCACAATGTCATCTAACAAACTATAGGGATTGAATAACCAGTCTATAAAGAATTGAGAAAGTTTAAAACTTTTAATAGTCATCTTCATTGGGAAGAAATGAGCCATCTTCATCAAGCAATCCACAACAATCTAAATAACATTATTTCCTTGAAAAGTCTTGAGTAAACCAATGATAAAGTCCAACTATAAAGGCGTCCCTCAACAAAACCTTCACACAAATATTAGTTATAAAGGAGTCAAAGCTAGCAAACTCCTTAAACTCATTCAAGAGATCACTGGATAACTTCATGAATAAGATAGAATTTACCATCTTGGATAATGTATTAGCCACTTTATTGTCACCTCTATGCTTGTATTGAATCTTAACAAACATTTCTTATAAAAACTCTTGCTGACAAGTAAGGTAACCTTGAAGATCCTTTTGTCGACTAAAATACTGAAGAGACTAATGATCTAAGTTTACATGGAAATTAATATCACCATTCCTTCACAATAGCAATCACAATATACAACTCCTTGTTTCTAATAGCTCAATTCCATTGTATAGCATAAAATTTGTGGCTCATGAATGCAAAAAGATGCCCAACTTGAAGTAAGATAACTCAAATAGCAATGCCACTTGCATCTATTTCGACCATAAGAGGTTAGATGTGGAAGATTTACCACAACAAATACTTGAGTTATATCCAAAATGCATCCCACCACATTCACTTTAGAATTTATTGACCCCTTTAGGACAATCTTTGCCTTGATGTTTAGCCCTATGGCAACAAAAACAATTGCTCACCACCTTTTCTTTCTCCCATTGGTTCGAATGAAGCTTCTTAACTTCATTGCCATCTTTATTCTTTGAGGCATGATATAGCAATGGTCATTTCTTCCCCGAATATGAAGCATGGACTAGTTGGTCATCATGTTGACTATTCTGTAAACCATCCTGTTGACCAAAGTTGACCAAATTAACTAATGATTTAGGCAAAAAGATTTAAACCTTAGTGATAGCATTAGTCAATGTTACTAGAAAATCCATCCTAACCTTCTATTGCACATTCATTGAACTCAAACTTTGTATCCAAAAATAAAATCCCCTACTAGATCTCTAGTAGCTGGTTCATGAGATTAACTTCTTCAAACTGCTTGACAAATAAAGCATAAAAAACCTTCATGAAATCACTCCAAAAAGCTAGCTTCAAATTAGATTTAATGCAGTCTTCCATGACGAAGAAACATGATTTGTAAGCTTCATCACAAAAAAATCAATTTTCACTTTATCCTCATAAGGAATGTGATTTCCCATAATTCCAACCAAAAATCAACCTCCTAGCTATCATAAATATTCAGTGATGACTTCCATTCCATGATACCATAATCCTTGACTAATGGTAATCATAGACATGAGATTTATTCAACCTTGAAAGTCCATGCGAAGCAAAAAATCCTTAATAAGATTGATAAAATCTTTAACCTCCTTAATGTTGCTTTGAACTTTAGAAATCTGGCATCTTTACCACACAACGACATCATCAAGAGTCTCTTCCTCATCATTATGGCTATCATCACTAATGCCATATTCCTCATCAAAATCAATATCTTGCTCACTAAAGGAACGTGTTGCTCCGATACCAATGAAATGAACAAAGGAAAGAACCTTAGGCTAACCTCCCAACCTTTAAGGTGTTACAACCTTAAACCCTAAGCATGTAGCAAATTGAGTAACTAAAGGTTGAAGTTGTGATTGATATAAACCACATAAATATTCTAAGAATATTCTATAACTTGTCTACAAATCCGTGAGAGGCTCTCTCTTTCTCAACCACGATGCTGATGTTGCCATGGTGAAGTTGTCTAGCTACTTGGTGCTATTGCTCAAGCTGCCAAGATCTTTCCCTAGGCCTCTTCCTTACTTGGTTGAAATCACAAGAATCAATATTGGTGGCTAACTCACCTCTTAAACATCTTTAGGGAGTTTCATCATCTTCGACAAAGGAACATATTACACTATTTTGGTTAAGGCTTTATTTGAGAAGGTAAAGGATTCTCTAGATGCAGTTCTTTCTACAAGTTACAATCGTGTCTAGTAACCTCATAACCAGATCTACTATGTTTCTAAGGGTCAATCTTTCTTATTTCCTTCCTTTGATTTTCACTTAAAACACTTACCATCTCACTCTCTTTAATTAACTATATGATGAGTGGCACTAATGGAGAACAAACTCACCATTTTGCTATATGAAAGATCACAAACTCTACAAAAATGAGTTGGTGTTTTTGGAAGCTACATGCAGCACAACATTGAGAAACAAGAACTCTCATTTACGGCGGTGGATTGCTTTAAATTTTAGTTAAGCTTCATTTAAAGTCTATGTAATCACTTGAAAACTATTCTCTTCAAGAGTGCTTCCTAGCTTTAATAAACCCCAACTTACTTGGAAGCACAATAGAAGCATCAATTTCATTGTCAAAAGTTCTCTTGAACCAAAATGTTCGTTTAATTGAAATCAAATTTCAAAGGTTTGTGATGGTAAGTGTTGCCATTGTTAGAGGAGTAACAAATTTATCCTTCAAATGCAAATTTGTTAACATCCTCTTTGATTTGCCATTGTAAAACTGAGTGACTTTTAACTTTAGCAACGATTGACAAAATTTATCTAAAAGTTTCAACCAAATTATAATATGGTCAAACCGAGGGCCTAAACCTACAGACACCGTTTCCTTGATCATTAACTACATTCTTTTGAGTAAGAGGTCAATATAGCTAGCACCAAAATTGCATCAAAATTAAATCATACTGTAAGAGGACATAGTTTTGCAACTAAAATATAATAAAATATTAAATAATAAGTACTTTTGAGCTTTATCTAAGCAAAGCCATTCAAAACTTTCACAAAACATTCATAAATGATTTACAACCATATTGGGAAGTTTGTCTATTCTTTTGCTTTTAAAATTTTTAGTAAACATTGGCAAGTTCATAGAAGCTTTTAAAGAAGGCAATGAAATTTACATGATTTTCTTTTATAAGGGAAAAGTTATTACATCATTATTGAAAATGAGGAGTATAAGGAAGAAAAACTTTGTTACTTAATTGATTAATTTTAAAAAAATTTTACTTTCATTTTTTTTTTAATTCACTTTGTGTTTATTTTCTCGTGTTGTTGTAGTTGCTAAGTGTTACATCACTTCATAAGCATAGAATTTAACATCAAGATATTAAGCTAAACAATATACTTGTGGTAGGAAGATATACTTGAGTCATCGACCAAATAAACAATAAAACCTTGTACAAGGCATTGGTTCTCTTAGATATGAATAATTTTCAAGAGTTTATCAATGAAAATTATTTATACAAAAATAATAAAAGTGATATACGCTACAAAACACCCGAAGTTTGAAACATAAGTGTGTTTTTTATTTTGGTATCAAACTCAAGCCTCAAGTGTTGTGTAACACAGTATAAATAAATTTAATTAATATCATTTTTGCCATTTCTGTATAAATAATTTTATTAATATATTCTTGAAAATTATCCATACTTAAGAAGATTAATACTTTTGTACAAGGTTTTGTTGTTTATTTGGTTAATGAGTCAATTTGTTTGTTTGGTTAATGAGTCAAATGTGTTCTCCTGTTATGAATATATTGTTTAGCTTGATATCTCGATAGTAAATTCCATACTCATAAAATGATGCAACACCTAACAATTGTAACTATAAAAGAAAATAAACACAAAATGAATCACAAAAAAAAAAATGAAAGTAGAAAAAATTTAAAACTAACCAATTGAATAGCAAAGTTTTTCTTCTTTATGTTCCTCATTTTCAATAATGATGTAGCAACTTTTCCTTCATGAAAAAAAATTATATAAATTTCATTGCCTTCTTTGAAAGCCTCCATGAACCTATTAATGTTTGTTAAAAATTTAAAAGTAAAAGAAAAATGAAACCTCCCAACATGGTTAGAGATTATATAATCTCCATCATCACCCAAAAATTTACCACATCACAGTTGTTTGCTCTTCAATCTAAAACCAAAATAAATCTCCCAATAAGCTGAAGCCAATTCCACTTCATCCAACATCTGGATAAAAACACAAAAAAAAAACAAAAGAATGCCTTACGTCATAACTTTGCATGAATTTATTAATGTTTGTTACAAATTTAAAAGCAAAAGAAAAATGAAACTTCCCAACATGGTTATGGATTATATAATCTCCATTATCACTCAAAACTTTATCACATCACAGTTGTTTGCTCCTCAATCTAGAACCAAAATAAATTTCCCAATAAGCTGAAACCAATTGCACCTCATCCAACATTTGGATAAAAAAACAAAAAAAATAAAAATAAAAAATGAAAGAATGCTTTATGTTAGAACTTTGCATAAACCTATTAATGTTTGTTAAAAATTTAAAATCAAAAGAATAGTGAAACCTCCCAATATGGTTAGGGGTTATATAATCTCCATCATCACCCAAAAATTTACCACATCACATTTATTTACTCCTTAATATAAAACCAAAATAAATCTCCCAATAAGCTGAAACCAATTGCACCTCATCTAACATTTGGATAAAAAAACAAACAAAAAAAAAATAAAATGAAAGAATGCCTTACCATCACAACTTTAACTACATAACCTTGGGAGTCATTAGGATACCTACACACGGTCAAAGCCTCCTCTCCCAATCTCTCCCCTTACAATTTCCACGTCGAGGAAGAGTCAGCCGCAAGGTTGACTTCATCGCTCTTAAGCCGCGGGAAAGATCGCTAGGATCAGGAAAGCCACAAGCAACAGCATGGCTGCAAAGTAACAATGGAAATCGATAATGAGCCGATGCATCGCAAGAAAGAAGCTTTTTCTTTGCTGCCGATGTTGATCTCCCGCACGATCGTGCGCCGCTAGCACGCCAATCTGTAAGAGAATAGCTAGCAGCAAGAACAAAAAGAAAGAACCTTGCCTCGCTCACCAATGTCGATCTCCGGCGTGCCGATCTCTAAGAAGCTCTGGATGTAAGAGAGAGTAGCTAGCAGCAGGAAGGAACCTGGTGGCGCTCGCCTCGCCCTTTTTAGCCCCAAATAAACCCTAAGTGCTTCCGAACATGGTTCGTATGCTTCTTCCCGGGACCTTTAAAAAAGTAACCTCGACTTCTATTAATTATGAAATTTATTAGGACATATGAGTAATTAGACTGGGATAACAACAATGGAGATTAGCTCACCTTTCTGGCAGCTTGGCCAAACTCTGGTGTTTCTGGATCGACCGTCGCGGCTATGTCGCAAACCTCTTGCTCGCTCATCCCATCGTAGAGCCCATGCGAAGCCACATCCATGGCGTTACTCCACACCGTGACATCCGTGGTGCCAATCACGCCGTAGAACCTCTTGAGCAGGAGGTCCCCGATGGAGCGGGACTTTGGAAACCAGCCCTCGATCACGCCAAAGCGTACCCCATGGGCAACTCCGGATGGTGGTCGCTCGTTAGCGCCTTGGCAACCAGCTTGTCGACCCCGTCGCGGACGCACGCGATCGCCCTCGAGTCGCCGACGTTGGCCACGACCATGAACTCGTCCGTCACCACCGCAACGCACGCGGTGGATCCCGCGTCCCACCACCGCTTGTCGTAGGCTTCCTTGAGTAACGACGTCTCCAGCTCCGGTCTTCTCCAGAGCCGCCTTGACAACTCCAGCGTTGATTTTAGCATCCAGTGATCCATGGAGGTTTGCGCAGAGCCTGGGCTCGAAGTTCCACCATCATCGGTGAGCAAGTTGGAGAGCGCTAGTAGCCGATCTTCCTGGTGTCTCCGGCGCCCTTGAATGCTCAGACCACCCTGTTGATACTTCCACTGCTACAACACTACTCACCGCCAAGAGCGCCAAGAGCGCCAAGAGCTTACCCTATGACAAAAGGAAGAGCTTTGGTCTCTTTATATAGTCTCAAGGAAAAAGGTTTCAACCATGAGCTTCGAAACATCCACACTTGACCTTGATCGTTTCACTGTTGCTCACCACCTCGCCCTGGATTATCCCTCCCACGAACTTCCCAATTACCAGCTGAGACACCATCACTACATTCCCAGGATCCTGGAAACAAAGAATGGATTAGTTGATCTCCTATACGAGAAGAGAACTTGGACGCTTCTTACTTGTGTCCTGTAACTCCGGATCCCCATGAGACCATAGTTCCTGGATCGCGTCCAGTGGTGGTGCTTGAATTTGTAGTCGTTTCCCAGAACGCCCAGCCGCCCAGCCGCGCGCATGAAATAGTACGCCGGCTTTGGCAGCGGCCGATTGGCGATGGCGCTCGTCGTGAACTGGTTGAGGAGCACTTGATCCCCGCGAAAGATTTGAGAGTGGCCTCCGCAGTGGACATCACCTGTGGATCTCTGTGAGAAACCAAACGAACAAGCAAAGAATTTGAGGAAGACTTCCTACCTCCCAGGACCATGACCTCTCTCCGCCCGCTCTCCTTCCAATTCACCAGCGCTTCGATCATCCTCGTCTGCTCCTTGCGATGCATGTCCGCCGACCAGTGCCCCCGGAAATCCGCGAGCCGCGGCACATTCTTCCCGGCGGCATCGGTGATGTTCGGCTCCAGGAAGACGAGCGGCGCCGGGGAGCAAACCAGCAGCACGCGTACATCCTCGAAGAGATCCCCCGGGCGGAGAGCCTGGTCGATGTCAGTCCACTGCGGGCTGCCGAGGTAGGGGAACTCGTCGCCCTTGACTCGCTGGAACGATCGGCAGCCGCGAACATCCAAGAACATAAGCCCCAGCCCGCCAACAACGTGGAAGTGGTGGTCCTGCACGGACGGCCAGGATTCGCCGAGTTCTTCCGCAAATCATGGAAGCACCTACCTTGGTCAGCTTGTGGAGCTTCCTGAAATCGATGTCGCGGTCCAATTGGCGCTGGTACTCCAGGTAGGCGATCCACGCGCCGCGCGCGATGAAGAAATCGAGGCATTCCGGGTCCCAGTCGGCCTCGAGGTCGGCCCAATTGTCGCGGATCTCGTGGTCGTCGTAGATCATGAGATTGGGGCAATTCGCCAGGCAGCGGGCGGTGGGGGGGTGCCGCCACGTCTCGCGGTACACCTCGCGGTACGCTTCGCGGACTTCCTCCTCTTTGGTGTGCCACAGATGCCGCGGGACGTCCTTCATGATGTCTTCCTTGCACAGCCGGAATCGATCGGAGCAGCGGTCGACATGGTTTTCCTTGTCCATCAATTTATCGCCATCGCCATACACCTGGGAGAAAAGAGAACGAGAAATTTCTTAAGAACACGACAAGAACATAAGAACAGGGGAATGGAGGGATCGTTTAATGGAACAGCAATCTTAGATCCAACCGTGCAATCCTTGAAGGAAAGAAAGGAAATCGAGGACCCAACACAGGAATTCTGGACAAAAGCCGCCGCGAGAATGGATCGATCTCTCACCTGGTCGCCGAGATGGAGGACCAAGTCCACGCTCCCAGCCTCGATGTTCTTGGCGAGGTCCGCCCACAGGTCCGAGTGGATGGGAATTTCCATCTGGGTGATGAAGATCTTGTTGCAGCTCACCACTCCAACATTGACACGATCCCACAGCTCCTCCTTCCTGGGAAACGTGACGAAGCTACTCCTGGCCACGAGATCAGATTTGCAACCCTCCAGCTCCACCAGGTAGCGGCACCCGGGGCTGAGCTCCAAGAACTCAAACGCCACCGGCCGATTCGCGGGCAACTTCTTCTCCACCTTCAAGCTCCTCCCCTGCTTGCTCTTCGATCTTCCCGGCAGCGCTGGATCTTGATCCCCTTCCTTGGGAATCGCGCTCGCCTGATCTTGCGCAGCGGGAGCATCCTTCTTCGCTCTTCGCCGACGCCTCCTGGATTGCTGGAGCAGCTGCCGCGACCGCAACACGCCGGCGGCATCCTCGATCTGGGTGAGCGAGACCGTGATCCGGGCCTCGCGATCGATTTCCAGCAGGATCCTGGCGCTCGTTGACGTTACCTTGCCAATCACTGGCCCGATCACCACATTGGCGTCTTCCTGGGATTTCTTCCTCCCATTTCGCTCCTCGCCCAGCAATTTGTTCACTGCCCCGGCGACCTTCTTCCTCCACGCGCTCATGATCACTCCATCCGTACGAAGCAAAACCCAGGCCTATATAAACAACGCGTGACGATTCGCGGATATCCCTGGTCTCCGTACAATTGATCCCATTCTTTTCGGACAAGAGAAAGCGTACAAAAGCTTCGTCGTCATCTTCGGAAGGCAAAAGAAAAAACATACGAAGGAAAAAAATTAAATTTCTTTACTTCTGCCTGCTGATTCCTTGCTTTCGTGATCTTCAGTTCAGATTAGCGGCAAAGCTCCGACTGCTTTGTGCCGAAACGAGCAAAGCGATTCACCGTCGCCACCAGCCCCACCGCAGAGATACGGGTGCGCCAAGAAAGCTTCCAGCTCTTTTCGCAGCGCGGCCGCAAGAGCTATGGATTCGGCACCGGGCTTTTGCTTCGCCGTGATCACTGCTCCCAAATACATCCTTCTCGCCGTCTCGAGTTGCCTTGAATCGTTTCCGGGCATGGTTTCGGAAGGCACGAGTCCCTGCGCACATTTCCAGCGAAGTTTTAGTGACTCTCCCGTGAAACAGCTGAATGTCTTCCAACTTTACCGCAATAATTCTTTCAGCCTCGTCTCGATCTGTGGCAACACCAGCCTCCGGTTCGTCGTCGAAGTCCATGCGAATGTTTTGCAGCTGAGCCTGGAACTGAGCGGCAGAGAACTGGACCTGGAGATGGCTGAGCTCTTCTCGCATTCTCGCGGCCGCATCGTTCTTTTGCATGACTTCTCGCTGCATTCTCGCCACCATCGCCTCCATATTCACAAGGTCCTTCTGCAAGGATCACAAACCACAAGCGTTTGTCAGCTAGTCTCAGAAAATTATTTCTCGAACTCACGTGTTTCTCTGTCAGTTGGCTTTGCACGGCCTGAGCGAAGCGCTCCCTGTCCCGCAGGCTCTTTTGCACTTCGTCCATCTTCTTCTTGAGCTCCACAAGCTCTTCCTCCCTCGCGGCCTCGGCTGCTTCAAACGATCGAACAGTCTCCAACATGCTGTCTTTCTCCCAGACTTGCTTCTTCAGCAGATCGATCTGGGCCTGGAGCTGGACGAGCTCCTCCCTGTTGAGTTTCTCGATCAGGTTTTGTGATTCGGTGTACTCTACGCCACTCTCGTCTTGGTCGACCCGACGGAGGATGTTCTCCTGTTCGTCCCAAATTGCCGAGATTTCGTCTTTGGAATCGACCTTCGCCGGCTGTTGCTTGTTCTTCTTTGATTTGAGAGGACTATCAGAGACCTGGACTATGCATAGCTTAAGGAGTGTTCTAAGCAAAGATGGAAGTACCTTCTTGACGGAAGAAGCGTCTCTGGGTGGAGCGGGAGTGTAGACCATCGAAGCATGGCGAGTAAAACCTCTCCTGCCCTTTTGCTCCTTGAATCGAGAGGACCAATGCTCGTCAGCAAAAAGAAACAAGAAAGAAAATCATGCTCACCATGAAAGATTCCATGAGCGGGATCATCTCTACCAGATTTTGGTAGATAGTTTTGTCGATCGCACCTGGAGGAGGAAGCCCCGACCAATCCTCCATAGACATCGCGACGCCAAAATCCCTGCGGCTCTTGCCTAAAATCTCCTCCTCGCCAAGAGATCCCTCGCACCTCCTCCCAGAAATTGATGCTCGCGGAGCAGCGCCACTACCTACATTGCTGGATCGACGCGAGCCGGGAGCGCCAAAGGACGGCAGCAGCATAGATCCATCCGGCGTGCTGCTCCAGGCGGAGAAATCCTGGGGTAGCAAATCCTGGCCAATGCGCGGCCTCACGACCTCGGCCGCCGGGCGACGCGCTCCTCCACGCCCTGTTGCCCTAAAAGCTCGAGCATTCTTCTTGGGGCTGCTATGAAACAGTGCCGAGCTCCTGGGGGAGGAATCCAACGCCGGCGGCGTGAGAATCTCTCGCTCCTGGCGAATTCGCGGAAGATTTGCCCTCTTGACCTTCACTGCTGCTACTGCCGATGCCGCTGTTGCCATGCAACAGGGATCGTGCGACGACGAGGCCTGGTCCTCACCATAAACGAGAAATCACAGGAAATGGCAGATCGATCGGCAGAAAAGGGGGAAAGAGGAGATGAGATTCTTGTTTGCGTCTGCCGCCCGGCCCAACTGGATTGATCGTGTCGTCCACCACAGCATCACTCGGAAAAAACAAATGGAATCAAAGCCTGCGATTCCTGGGCCAAACGCTACAGGCTTTCGGCACGATCGATCACCATCCAGCCCCGTTCTTGGTCGATCCCGTCCCGTTCGCGCCCATGAATCGATCGATCGAAAAAGAAAAATCTGACTAGAGCTTGAGCTTGAGCGCTAACGGATGGGAGACCCAGCCCTTTTACCGCGCAGTAACAGTAGGCCTGGTTTGAAATTTTCACCACGGCCCTTTCAAAACTTTCATTGTGACGTTGCCCGTGACAGAAAAAATATTCAATAAAAGTTGCGCCGCCCGTGGGGCTCGAACCCACGACCACAAGGTTAAGAGCCTTGCGCTCTACCAACTGAGCTAGGGCGGCTTGCGTGTAGCACTCGTCAGCAAAGCCATCCACATCTAACCTTCTCATAGCTATGAACACAACTGGAAAATTTACTTTTTTTCTTTTTCTTTACAACTGGGATGACTAACTGACCGACTGACCGACCGATTCCTTGCTTGCCAATGCGAAATAGAAGAACACACCTCTCAATCCATCCATCCATCAATCAAACGACCAATCGATCGATCAATCAATCCATTTTGCTCCGATCTCACACCCTCTCAGTAGTTTTGCTCGATGAGGTAATCCGCTAGGCGCTCAACAACAACGTTGCATTCGCCCGGTGCGACCGGCTCGTCATACAGCCCGATGACCAGAGCGCTGGAAGTCTTCTTGATCGTCACTCCGGCAGATCCCTGCGAGCCCAGATCGATCGATCAATCAAACTTTCCTCTCGATCTTTACCTTCTTTCCCCTGATCACAACGCCGGCCTCGCCTTGGATCACCATGTACTTGCTGCCGCTGAGGTAGAGGCCGTTCTGGGCGAGCTGCGAGGAATCGTCAAACGCATTCATCACGTTGGTAATCTCCTCGGGCTTGACCTGCGCGGACATAGATAGGGTTTGTGGATGGATTGATTGAATCGCTCGCTCGCTCGCTCGCCAAGAAATCCAGAAATCGCTCTTCTTACCGCTGGAAAGTTGGGGCTCTGCGCCCAGACGCTGCCGTCGTGACCCAGAATCGCCGCCGATGAGAGCGTGCGCCCGTTGCCAAGATCATACATGAGGTAAGAATCGACATACGTCTGCCACGACATGGTGCTAGACGATCAATCGATCGATCGCGAGCTCGCCTGGATCGAGGAGAAAGCGAGAGCGAAAGAGAGAAAACCTAAACGAGAGAAAGACGAAGAAACAGGGGCCTCTCAAATTTTGTTCTCACCACGCGGTGGCCGCGCGGTGGCCAGCTGTGTGCCGTCGGATCCGGCAATCTGGGCCGTCGGCTGTGCGGGATATTCCCGGTGCCAGTCGGACAAGATCACTCGCTCTCTCTTTTTTGGATTTTTAATCTTTGGCGACTTTGGCTCGGTGGTGGTGGAGAAGATGGCGGCAAAGGAATAAAATCTCGATCTAAGTTTTCAATTCAGGGACACGATTCTACATTGTATGATGTGAGTGTGTAAAACAGCAAAATGGATACGCTCCCCTTTAGACTGTTCTCTCCGTGGAAATCCTCACGGCATCACATCAAAAGCGAGACGACATGGCCCCCCCAGTGATGCGCTGCCGCCAGTGTTGCGAAGATCAGACCGAGCGCAATGGAGTGATCCAAGGAGAAGCCTGCGCAGAGCAAAAGGCGAGTAATCAGAGGAGTCGAGCGCGAAAGAAAACCGATGAAACCAAGGAAAGAATCGAGAAGAGCACGAGAATCGGGCAAAAGAATCGATATTTCGAGAAAAGAACCGATGCGTCGATGTTCTTGGAGGCCAAGGAAAGAATCAAGAAGGATGTTCTTGGAGAAAGAAGAGCGAGCTGGAGCCAAATCTTCTCACCTTTGCTTGACATCGGGCTGGGAGCCGGCGCCAGATCCTGCGCATGCGAGAGAGATAGCGCGGCGGCCATAGCTAGCGCGGACATAACGATCGCAATCGCGAGCTTCGCCATGCCTCTTTCTTCCCGCGCGCGAGAGAGAGAGCGCGAGCGAAGAACAAACAAATGAGAAAAACCCTCCGTCCCGAAGAGAATGCCAGCAGCCCTTTTCACCTTTATATTTCTACCGTTGAGCGTAACGGCCTACCGTCGATCCGCGAGGCCAAGATATTCCGCGTGGCAGCCGTACATTCCGCCGCGGAAGGGCCAGTCCAACAACAAGAGGGTGCCCGGAATGGCGGCATTGAGCTCATTGCGTTCTCCACTCTGTTCTTCGCTGCGGCAGCCTAGGGTTAGGGTGGGGCGCGGGCGCCGGGTGCGCTGCTCGAGCCGGAGCAGCATGGCGGAGGATTGCTTGCACGCGCTGCGATTGTCGGAGGAGCGCCCGGGCACGGAATCTTATTCTTCCCAGAAATCTGGCTCGGATGGGGAGGACAGGGGCGTAACGACGAAGAACAAGAAGAAGAATACGCTGGAGGAGCTGCGGTGGGATCACTCGTTTGTGCGGGAGCTTCCGTCCGATGGCACTTCTCCCAATTTTGTTCGCCAGGTTTGCCTCTGCTTGCTCTCGTGTGCCCAGATTTGATCCATGCTGCTTTGCAAGTACAGGTGATGAAAGCGTGCTACTCGAGAGTATCTCCGTCGGCCAAAGTGAAAGATCCGAAGCTAGTTGCATGGTCCGACTCGGTTGCGGAGCTTCTCGAGCTAGATCCAGCAGAGTATGTCCTCACGCTCGTGTTTTTTCCTTCCTCGTTAATGCTTGCTGTCCAGATTCAAGCGAGAGGATTTCCCATTGATCTTCTCGGGTGGCAAGGAGCTGCAAGGCAGGTATTACACTCTTGATGTTTCACTGCGAAGGAATTGTGCTCAAGTTTCGTTCTTTGTTTCCTCTTTTCGTTCTTTCAGTGAATGCTATGCTCAGTGCTACGGTGGTCACCAGTTTGGAGTTTGGGCGGGGCAACTAGGAGACGGTCGAGCAATCACGCTTGGCGAAGCTTTGAATAGCAAGAATGAGCGCTGGGAACTCCAGCTCAAAGGAGCTGGCAAAACTCCTTACAGCCGGATGGCCGATGGACTGGCGGTGCTACGGAGCAGTGTCAGGGAGTTTCTTTGCAGCGAAGCTATGCACCACTTGGGGATCCCCACGACTAGAGCATTGTGTCTCGTTACCACCGGCGACGATGTTTTAAGGGACATGTTTTACGAGTAAGCATCTGTGTTTTTGCTAGCGATGTGAAGTAACTCTTGTGGTGCTTGCAGTGGAAATGCTAAGATGGAGCCTGGAGCTGTTGTTTGCCGAGTTGCTCCTTCGTTTCTTAGATTTGGATCTTACCAAATCCATGCTGCCAGGGACGACAGTAAACTAGTACGATTGCTCGCCGACTACACACTCAAGTATCATTTTCCGGACTTGCCAGACGAGGAAGAGCTGGAAATTAAAATCAACGAACAGGACGGGCAGATATCCAAGAACAAATACGCAGGTTTGTTTTTAAGCAGTTTTAATTTCTTAGATTGAGAGTGACGCAACAATACTTTCGTGTACGTCTGCAGCTTGGTTTGTCAAGGTGGCAGAATCCACTTCCTGCCTCGTTGCAATGTGGCAAGCCGTGGGCTTCACACATGGTGTTTTGAACACGGATAACATGAGTGTCCTGGGTTTGACGATCGACTACGGTCCTTTCGGCTTTTTGGATGCGTTTGATCCCAAGTACACTCCAAACACGACGGACTTACCGGGGCGGAGATACTGCTTCGCGAATCAACCAGATATCGGACTCTGGAACATCTTGCAGTTTGGGAATACGCTCATGGCTGCTGGCCTTTTGACGCAAGAAGAGCTTCAATATGGTCTCAACAGGTACTTTTCTTCTGTACCCTGTTGAGAAAGTCTTTTTAAAATGGCTTTTCTACCAGATACGCGGACACTTTCATGGTGCATTATCAGCAAAACATGACCAAGAAGCTGGGCCTGAAGGAGTACAACAAGGATCTGACCAGCAAGCTACTGAGCAACTTGGCTTTTGACAAAGTCGACTACACAAACTTTTTCCGAGCTCTAGCCAGCGTCAACCTGACGGAGCCTATAACCGAGGACACACTGGTGCCGCTTAAATCGGTGCTGCCAGATATCAGCAAGGAACGCAAGAAGACGTGGATGGACTGGCTATCTCTCTACAGAGAAAAGGTAAGAACAAACGAAAAAAAACCGTGATTCATGTCAGCTAAAGCTTACTTTCACTTTCCTCGCCAGGCCGAAGGCATCTCCGATGAATCTCGAAAGGCTGCCATGAACAAAGTGAATCCAAAGTACGTACTGCGGAACTATCTGTGCCAGAGCGCGATCGATGCGGCGGAAGCTGGAGATTTCAGCGAGGTGAGGCAGCTGCTCGAGGTGATGAAGCGGCCATTCGATGAGCAGCCGGAAGTGGAGAAGAAGTATGCGAGGCTGCCCCCGACATGGGCGTATCGGCCAGGCGTGTGTATGCTCTCGTGTTCGTCATAGAGGCGAGTTTGATTGTAAATAGCGCGCGTTCTTTTCGTCCTTTTGTTATTTTTTCCTTTGTAAAGAAGAAGCACCAGATCTAGGGCTATTTAAATTGGACGTGGGAGAGAGAGAGCGAGAGCGAGAGGCGATGCGCAAGAACAGGAAGGCCATGCTCTTGGCGCTGTGGATTCTATGGATTTCTCTGGCTGGAGTGTGCGCGGCGGCGGCGGCATCGGATGCTCAACCCGAGATTACTGCAGCGGCAGCTCCTCCCGCCGGCAAGGAGGGTACTCTGGCGGAAATGTTCGATCGGGTGCTGGATAAGGAGTTCTCGGACAAGGAGGATCCGCAGGAAGGTGCATTCTCGTGATCTAGCTTCGTCTTTCTCATTTTTGCGTTGTGTTCTTCCAGGGAAAGTGGGCAGTAGCTTCAACAGTAGTGTGGCCGATCAGCAGGTGGGTGGTTTTTCGCTGTCTCGAATCTCGATCGCTTGTTTGCTGAGGGATTTTTAAATTTTTTTTTTGAAGGCTGTGTTAGAGACTGTCGCTAGAGTAACTCACGATAAACAGAAGAAGAATGAGACGCAGGATCAGAAAAAGTACGTTGTGTGATCCTCCGTTCTTTTGTGGTTCTTTTGCTGACTATATGATCATCTCTTTGCGACAGTGGAACCTCGAAACCATTCCAAATCCACGACGTTTTTAACTTGGATCCCGACAATGGGGCCGAAGAGCTGCCAACGCTGATTGACAAGAAGGTGCGTTTCCTGTGGAAGCTTATATGTTTGGCTTAGAATTTCCGTGTCTTTGCAGGACAATGTTTTTGTGATGTCAAACTCAAGATCCGGGCATATGGTACTTCAACAGGATCTTAGATTGATTTCCGACTTGGTGGTTGTGATTGTGTCCGCGGCCGTCGGAGGCATTTTATTTGCGTGCATGGGACAGCCGGTATGTCAGCTTTCCTCTCTTATTCCAGCTTGGTTTATATATTCGCCTTTCGTGACAGGTTATCACTGGATATTTATTAGCGGGGTCCATAATCGGGCCTGGTGGGCTATGCATTGTTAGCGAGCTTGTACAGGTACTTGCAACTCATACTCGGTTTTTATTTCTTTTCACCTTTCTTTTTTCTATCAGGTGCAAACTGTGGCTGAATTTGGGGTGGTCTTCCTACTTTTTGCCCTGGGCCTTGAGTTTTCTTCCTCGAAGGTAAGTGGACAAAGAAGTTCTTCTTCTCTTTGAAGTGTTGATCACAGTGGAAACTGTTTACAGCTTCGTGTCGTTAAGGGAGTCGCTGTCTTTGGTGGTCTTATTCAAATCCTGCTTTTTATGTGCCTGTGCGGTTTCGCTGCTATGGTAGGTCTCGAATTCTATTCACAGAAGGTAGAGTTGTAACGTCGTTGCATTTTGGTGGCCAGATTTTTGGTGCGAACATCTCAGAGGGAGTTTTTGTTGGTGCTTTCCTTTCGATGTCATCCACAGCAGTGGTATAATTTTGTTTAGGTAGTACCTAATAGCGGACGCTATTGAGCTACTCATCGAATTTGCATTCTTTTTACAGGTGTTGAAATTTTTGATGGAAAGAAACAGTGTGAGCCTCCTGTATGGACAAATAACTGTTGGAACACTAATTCTTCAGGTAAAACACGTTTTGTTTCTTTAGAGAGGTTTGTACAAATCATCGAACGTTAGGATTGTGCTGTTGGTATATTGTTTGCTTTGCTCCCGGTACTCGGAGGAGAGAGCGGGATGATTCAGGGAGCTTTGTCCATTATTAGAGGGTAAGCTGTCGTTCGTAATTTTTTTCTCGAGAGTTAACTGTGATGTTTCAGGTTGATAGTTCTCTCAGCGTTCATTTTGTTGACGGCATTCACCGCGCGTTCTCTTCTTCCGAGAGGCATGAAATCGTTAATGCGCCTGTCCACTATGGTAATGGATTTTCTCTACACTTCTTAAGTTTAACTTAGCTCGTGCAGACAAACGAGCTCTATCAATTAGCAGCGGTTGCATTTTGCTTGTTCGTAGCTTGGGTAAGTTCGAGAAGATGATACATTTGCAATAAATCTTTTGTTTCATTCTTTTCAGACAAGTGATAAACTGGGGCTCAGTTTTGAATTAGGAGCGTTCACAGCAGGCGTTATGGTTTCCACGACGGATTTCTCTGAGCACACACTTCATCAGGTCTGCGCTCAAGTAGCTCGCTCGTCTTTCTCCTGACAAGGATATATATTCAGGTGGAACCGATCCGAAATTTGTTTACGGCGCTTTTCCTTGCAAGCATTGGAATGCTTATCAACGTCAGCTTCCTCTGGACGCATATTGATATTCTCGTCGCATCGTTGGTTCTTGTACTGGTATCGAAGCTTTTCGTGATATCTGTGGTAGTCAAGGCTTTTGGTTACAACACCAGAACCGCATTGATGGTACGTGAATCCGTGACACTTTGGAAGCTAAACGTTTTCTCTCTCGTTCAAGGTTGGAATCTCGTTAGCGCAAGTTGGAGAGTTCGCTTTTGTGTTGCTCAGTCGCGCGTGGAACCTCCACCTTTTACAGGTGAAAACTATTTAACATCCATTCTGCCTCCTAACAGTGTCATTCGTTGCAGAAAAAGCTCTACTTGCTTCTTCTGGGCACCACAGCTCTTAGTTTGGTAAGCTCAAAGAACTCGTTCCAGGCATTGTTTTTCTAAACGAAGCTGTGATCGCTGGCAGGTTACGACCCCTCTATTCTTTAGAATAGTCCCCGTGATACTCAAGATAGGCACTATAATGAAGTGGTTTCCAGAGTCTACGCAAGTGGAAGTAAGTGATTGTTTTATGAAAAGTTGGCCGGAAGCTCACTCGGTCATTCTTCACAGATCCCTGCCGAGAATGAGGAGTTTCCCTTGTGATCCAAGATCCAAGATCCAAGACTGCGATGTACAGTAATGAGCGTGAAAAGTTTATTCGTTCGCATTAAGAAAAGGAAATTTACAAGAGTAAACTTTCGAGCTGAAACTTGCGTTTAGCTGATGGGAATCTCGACAGTCCTGGGCTTCTGTGGCTCGGGCGGGATCTTTGGCACAGTGACAGTGAGGACGCCGTCCTGGCAGCTCGCGGTGATTTGCTCCACATTGGCGTCTCCCGGCAGCGTGAACCTCCTCATGAACTTGGCGGCCCTGCGCTCCATCCGGATGAACTTGGTGTCTTCGTCAGCTTTCTCGTCTCTCTTTCGCTTGCCAGTGATGGACAAGACATTGTCATTCTCGACCTCCACCTGGAAGAACAATCCCAACCATGATATAAGATATAAGATCAAGAAAAAACTATCGAGTATAGCTCTGTGTGTGTGTGTGTGTGTGTGAGAGAGAGAGAGAGAGAGGAGAGATCGTTGGGATTGAAATCTCTTACCTTGATATCGGATTTGGAGAGGCCGGGCATGTCAGCTTCGAAGATGTAGGACGAGGAATTCTCCTTGACATCCACCGCAGTGGCAGCCACGGCCTTGGATTCGGCAGCGTACCTCCTGGCGGGAGGATGGGGGAGATGCTTGTCAAAATCCTCGGCATGCATCAGCCCATTGGTGAGCAATGCCGTCGCGAGCTGCGCCAAATCCACCATGATCGCGATCGATTGACCAAAATGCTGCCCTAAGAAATCCCTGTTGGATGAGAAACGAATCGATAACCTCAGCTTCGCATTCCGGGCTGTTTATAGCCGCGCGTGAAAACTCGCGAAGTAGCTAGAACTCTCTAGAGTCTAGAGAGAAGACTTGTGATTCGAGCCCGCGACCGAAGCGTCACGGGATCTCCACCGTCAGATTCTGACGGCCAAGATCACTTTCATTCAAACATTAGGGTAAGATGAAACAAGCTTTCTATGCTTAAGGGCGGCAATAGGAGGACTGGGAGGAGAGCGAAGGCGGCGAGCTTGCAGTGCCTCAGCGACGCGATCGATAGCTTGGAGAAGCGATCTTCTCCGCCGGACTCGGATTTCTACGCGGCGCTGGTCCGCTACTGCGGCGATTGCCAGGCGCTCCCCCACGGCCGCCGTGTCCACGCTCACCTCCAGGATCACGGCTATGGCCGCAACAGGTTCCTCGGCAATCTCCTCATCCAGATGTATGGCAAATGCGGGAGCCTCGCCGACGCGCGCGCGGTCTTCTCCCACATGCCCTGCAAGAACAGGTATTCCTGGGCGATTCTCATGGCGGCCTGCAATGCCTGCGCTGGGAATGGCTGGGAGACGGTCGATCTCTTCCATCTCATGGATCTTGATGGAATCCGGCCCGACACCGTGAATTTCGTCAATGCGCTCACGGCGTGCTCGTTTGCGGGCGCGCTGGCCGAGGGCCGGGCGCTCCACGCGAGGATCGGAGCGCTGGGGATGCTGAGCGACAGATTCGTGGCGTGCGCGCTCATCAGCATGTATGGCCGCTGCAAGGATCTGGAAGACGCCAAGGCAGTGTTTGATTCAATGGCCGACAGGGATCTCATCACCTGGAACGCGATGCTTGCTGCGTATGCCCAGAACGGGCATTGCAAGGAAGCGCTGGATTTCTACCGGCAGTTCGATCGTCACGGGGTGGCTCCAGACAACGTCACTTACATCACTCTCCTCTACGCTTGCTCCTGCCTCGAGGATCTGGAAGAGGGGATGAGGATCCACTCGCTGCTCCCACCTGCCGTGATCGACGAAGACATCGTCCTGGCGAACGCGCTGGTGACGATGTACTTCCGGTGCCAGAGGATGGATCTCGCCGAGCAAACGTTCGAGCGGATCACCAACAAGGACTACGCGAGCTGGAACGTGATGATCTCGGGGAATGCGCAATGCGGGCAGGCCAGGAACGCGCTGGCGCTCTACAGGAGGATGAATCTCGAGGGATTCGAGGCCGGGGACGTGACCTTCATGAGCGTGCTGGATGCGTGCTGCCTCGTCAAGGATCTGGGCGAGGGCCGCCGTGTCCACGCTTGGGCGAGGAGCACTGGATCGGACCAGCAAATTCTCGTCGGCACCAATCTGGTAAACATGTATGGCAAATGCGGCAGCGTGGAGGAAGCTCGCGAGGTGTTCTTGGGACTCAGGAGGAAGACGCTAGTTACCTGGACGGCCATGATCGCGGCATATGCCCAAAACGGGCATTCTCGGGAGGCGCTGGATCTCTTCTACGAGCTCGAGCGGGAGGAATGCGGCAAGGATCTGGACAACATAGCGCTCATCACGATCGTGGATGCATGCGCGAAGATTGGAGATTTGGGCGAGGGAAGGGAGCTCCACCGGCGGATCATCCAGCACAGGGTGGAGTCGGACATCGTCGTGTGCAACGCGCTCATCACCATGTACAACAAGTGCGGGAGCCTCGCCGGCGCCCGAGAGATCTTCCAGAGCATCCAAGGTCCCAACATCATCTCCTGGAACGCCATGCTCGCCTCCTACTGCGAGCACGGATCGAACGCGGCGGCGCTGGAGCTCTTTGCGCGGATGGTGAACGATGGCTGCCCGCCCGACGATATAACGTTTGTGAGCATACTGTTTGCTTGCAGCCATGCTGGGCTTTTCGAGCAGGGGTGGCAGCACTTTGTGTCCATGAGGGATGACTTTGGGGTGGTGGGCAAGTTTGAGCACTACGTTTGCATGGCCGATTTGCTTGGGCGGTCGGGGTGGCTGGACGAGGCCGAGGTGCTGCTCGACGGGGCGCCTTACAGGAGTGCTGCCACGGCATGGAACACTCTTCTTAGTGCTTGCAAAATGCATCAGAACTTAGGAAAGGGCGAGCGAATTGCCGAGAGGATACTGGAGCTGGATCCACAGGTTGCTGGCTCTTATGTCCAGCTCTCTAACATGTATAAGGTTAGTAGGGGATGCAATAGCAAAACTGATTCATACATTTGCTGATACTTCTCTGAAGCCAAGCATATTCTTTGAATAGCCCAGTTGCATGCAGGTTAAAGTATGCTTGGTTTTACCACCAAATTGATAAAGATAAAGGAAAGTGCGTGTGTATAAATATACATGTCTTTTTGTCATTTGGTTATTGATAATAGATAAATTGTAATGAGGAAATATTTTTCAGTAGTTTTCTATTTATCTTATCTGGTAAACCAAGCATACTCAATGAGTGATGGATATAAATGGAGATGTTTACCTTATTCTTTACAAGATGCTAAAGAAGAGATTTGTAGATGTGAAGATGATATTTTCCATGCCCTTAATCAAAATCGCACTGGAAGAATATCATTTATCCATGGTTTTGTAAGAGTAACTGCTTATATTGGGATACATAGTAGTGAAACTCCAAATGACTTAAATGAAGCTTTGAACATAATATGGGATAAATGTATAACACCGTTTAATAAAGGTGGAGGTGTATATCTGAATAATGGGTCACTCAATGTGAGAATTGAGGTAACAAGAAGAACTGAGTTATCTCTAGAGGTTTCAGCAAATTATACATTTACCAAATTAAATTGCTACTAAAATCTATTAAATAAATATAACTCAAATAAAAAAAATTATAAGAAAATTTATGACAGTATAATCTAATTGAAGTTACCCATATTTATCCTTATAATATAAATTCAATAATACTTTAATAATAAATTTTTATTAAAACAATTGATAGCAGTATAACTTCTAAACAGCTTACATTCAATTTATTTTCTTGTTACATCACCCCTAAACCTTGCCATTGCCTAATTCCCATCCCTTTAAAGTTATTTATAAGCATAAATTACCAAGATGTTTGAAGCACACTATAAAAATCTCTTGAACCACTATATTATGTCTCAAAGAATTTCTAATTTAAGACTCAAGTATGCTACAAATAATTAAAGATATAGAGGGATTCTATTATTATTTTTATCATAATTTTTTGGGAGTTATAAAACATGATTTTAGATATTTTAAAGACTATCCCTGCCAACACTTTGAAATAATTATTGTCTTTGCTCTCGCCTCAATACCATTCCTCACTTTATTAATTAGAATCCTCTTTACCCCCTCTAGACAAAAAAAAACAAATTAAATTTGAAGAAGAAACAATATGGAAGAGGAAAAAGTGAAAAAGAAAACTATATAAAAAGAGAATTCTGCCACACTTCCATGCTTTCTTTCTTTTGGGCATTTTGGTCCACATTTGTCGAGAGACAAAGAAAAGGAAGATTGTGTTGATGAGCAGCTATGTAGCAAAGAAAGAAAGTCATGGAACATGTCTCGGTTGCTTGCTTGCACGAGTCTCACTAGTCGAATTTAATTAACCTAGCTCCATCAGTGGACATCCAGAGTACCCCATACACGTTGTGGTTGGATTGCGCGGCAACAAACCACACCACGTCAGTGAGGGAGCTCTTCATGACACTCCAGCCATTTTCTGGTGAAGTGTTCCTCATGGATAATCGCCCGTTGCCAATTCTTGGTATTGGATCGATCCAGATTCAAGTTCCAGATGGCAAGGAGGTTGTAATTCGTGATGTGTGGTACGTTCCTCACTGGACACTCTCATTTCCATCGGTCAGATGGTGGAACAAGAGTTTTTGCTGCTTTTCTCAAGTACTGGAGTGGACAGCAATCATCCACGATATGGACCAGTGGCTTGGGCAATGAAGGTTGGCAGGCTTTTCAAGTTGGTTTGCTCCGTGCAAATCCTGAACCAGGTGATGGCGACAGTCCCTGTCACTTCCTCTTCAGGGGGAGCAGCAGATATTAACAAACTATTCACGAGATGTCACAAGCTCAAGTGTGGATGGTTTGCACATAAAATCCACCAGGATGCTCTGTGCGAGCCATGCCTTATGGGGAAGCAGCAGCAACATTATTTTTCTGGATCTTCCTTGTGCGGCTCAACCTTTGACACATATTTGTGAACCGTTTCATGTTCATCCAGACACGCCACAAAAAGAGATACTTCATTTCTTTTACTGACATGATACAAGATTTGCAGTGGTCGGATTCCTTTCCAGTCTTCCATCCGACTCCTTGGAAGGATGAAGATGACGTTGGCCAGTAGCCTCTCCTCTCATCTGCTGATTCTTCAGGGGGGAGAATACACTTCAGCGGCGTCGTCACGCTCCATCTTCCCCAACTCGAGTGGGTGGGCGATCAACGTGACTTAGTTGTGGTCCCTCCAGCTCCAGCGATTCCAGATCCGTCTGGTCCTGAGCCATCTACTGGTGTGAGGCGTTCTAGCCGGACTGTTCTGTACACACCGAAGGGAGCAGAGTATCATCAAGAGCTTGCAGAGAAGCGTGCTCGAGCTCAGGCACGAGCCTCTTATAATCCTCGTCTGTTTACTGCTGATGAGATTCAAGTTCCTTCGACAATTTTACAAGCTCAGAAGTCTCCTCAGGCGGCACAATGGCTGGCAGCTGTTGACGATGAGTCAACGCAATCAAACGTCGTGAAAAACACAAGGCACTTCGACACAGGACAAATAAAATCATATGGCATTGAAGTCTAGTACTTGGGTGCCAAAGTGGAAGCTTCTACATTCTCACATTGCTGCAGAATGTGAACTGTATATGCTTAGCAGCTATAGAAGATGAAGGTTAGTGAAAGTAACCTCTGAGATTGTCGTTACTACCACGACCACTACCACGACCTCGACCACCACCGCGACTGCCACTGCCACCGTCGACCTGGTTGCTGTCAGCACTTCGCGTTGTCCACGTTCATGTTTTCTAGAGCGAACTCTGTAACCAATGAAAGGATCTCTGTGCCTGGGAGGTCTTTCATTGCTAGTTGAATCATCTTCGGAGAGTTGTGGCTTGTCTTGGATCTGGATATTGGCATGAGTGGCGCCCGAAGAACTTCCAATGACGAAAGACTTTTCTGCAGCAGACATAGTCAACGATCATAGAAAAGAAAACCAGCACGACAAACCCGCAGTCTATCTAGCAAGATACACATTTGGATCGGCCCTGCACAAACAGCTTGAGTGTACTAGAAAGGAAACGCAGATCGACAAATCTAAAAACTCACGAACACCGCCAGCCAGTCCTGCAGCCATCCTAAATGAGTCACAACATATTGCCAGCCGAAAGTGTCGAAAACTTCTATCTGGGGGAAAAGTAATATGAAAAGGCACTGGCTTGCCTCTTGGCCCTTCCTTCCTGGATCTCTGGAAGGCATGCATGAAAAAAGAGACGAGTAGAGCAGCTCTTAACCTTCGTCGCCCGGAGCCGCATTCCCTTCACCGAAGGTCACATCACAACGAATTTCTTACTCGATCCCATATCTTTGCCGCATTTCCTCCTAAAGCTTGAGTCAGGTAGCGAGCTCCTCTGCGGCAATGATCTCATTGCAGTTCTCCACACGCGATTGCAATGGGAATCAGATCATGTTCTGGATAGTGGAATGTCTTTTCTGCCTACACCCGCTCCTCCCGATCTCATGATTACAAGCTCCCATCTCTTCAGAAAGAGGCTTAGCGATGGCAGCGAGCTGCCATCACTAAAGTGCATTTGTCCCTGGCAGCGTGCTGGAGACAGATTACGGGGCTGGAGCAAGAGCCATTTGCAGGCGACTTGTGGAGATGACAAGAGTCCAGTCAGTGACATTGCTATTGTGAAGCTTGGGGTGGGGGTAAGGCGGATCCCACCGGGCTTGCCTAAGAGCCGTTCATCATTTTCTTTGGTTGGCCACTGTTTGACAGTGGCCTATCCTGGGAAATCTTTGTAGCTTTTACTAGAAATAAATTCTAAACAGTCAAAGCAATTATATGAAAACAGTAGTTAATATCTAGCAAAATACTAGGTGTTTCCTTGGTACGACCACTTAACCCGGTCTGCCAACTTGTAAGATGATTGACCTCAGAGCAAGAGACGATCACCCTCGTCAGCGCCTATGTCTTGCTCCGCCGGAATGCAGGCAACTCCTGCACACGAAGGGTTCCTGGCCACTGCACCGCGGAAGAACTTCTCCGCCGTGGCCTTTTCATGGCCAGTTCTGGCCAAGCGCATTGCGAGCTGGAACGCGGACGCAGCCGTCTCGTCACTGAACACAACCTGTCCATGCTGCATCGCCGCGGAGTAGCTTCCCAGTGCCGCCCCATGCACCCACGCAAAGCTTGCATACATGTAGTTTCCGGTCTCCAAAGCCATGCGACCAACATCTCGGGTTGCTGACTGTTGAGCATCAAGGATCGCCGACAGGATCGCCTCATGAGCTTCCTTGCTCCTCCACTGTGCCAAAGCCAGCCAAGGGTGCGCCTCCCACCAAGCTGGATTCAATTCCAGAGCATGTTTTAGATAATGCGTGGCTTCCTTTGCAGGAGTCTGTGTACGCATCATATTCAGCTCCTCCCCCAGTATCAAAACGGCGAGTCTAGTCTCGACGAGGCAAAGCATGGCAGCATCCGTGCTCGTCTGGAGCTCGGCCAGCAGCTGATCCTTTGCCATGCCACGTCCAATCTCTCCATGGCGCTGTTGATCTCGTCGATGCAATCACTCGCTCTTGCAGCTTTTCCCACGCCCAATCCAGCGGGAACCAGGTCCGACAGGCAACAATGAAGTTGGGGAGCCAGCAAAAGTCGCCGAAGTATCGGCCATAGTCGTAGTAGCCCCTGAGTGATGCACTGTCAAGCAACTCATCCCACTTCTCCTTGGTGATATTCCCATACTTGTTGGAGAAGGCTTTAAAAAGCCGCTGAGCCTTGAAAACTTCTACATGGCTCGGCTGCTTGAACGAAGTAGCGACGCTCTTCGCTGCCGGCCATTCTGGCTCACCTGAAGAAGAAGGACCGACCATCATAGCAAAGGCCGCCCGGCTCAGATTGGTTTCCGTAACGCTTCGGGACACGTGGCCGTTGCATGGTGAATCGTACATAGGATTTTGGTTGCATTTTTCCATTATTTTCTACAGCTCGAGACATAAAGGCATCTGCATGAAAGCTGTTCATAAATTATATCTTGGATCTTCAGGCCTTAGATCTTCCAGCTGATGCAGACTGCGACATGAGCTCGTGGGAAAATCTTCGAACTTTGAGAGAAGTTCTTTCCAACTCATTCGTCACTTTGGATCTGCGACAGGTGCTGTTGGCCACACACGAGTTCTGGATCTTCGCATAAATCTTGTGTCTAAGCTCTGAGCCTCAAAAGAGTAAGCGGACCTCGTCCCTCTGTCGAGTGAGTTGAAAGAGGCTTGTATCCACAGTCCCGGAGTTA